GGATCCAATAAAATCACAGGATCTTGTGTAACAAAACAAACGCGAAAAACATAAGAAATTGTAAAAAAACGTAAATACCAAAAAATTTACTATGATGACTAACTTCCGATCTTTAAGTAAAAGTTTTCAAAATGAAATTTTACTTATAAAATATGATTGTTAATGTTAGATACATAGAGAAATTTTGATATACTACGACCCATATCTTTTTGGCCTGCAGCCGGGATTTTCTTGACATAAGGAAATTCATGGTTTACAGGCAAGTTAATGTGTCTGTGCGTGACTTTGTGTGGCACTCCGAACAATACTTTAATTGTAGGTATCAGGAACAAATGCCTCTGTACGTAAAATCTTGGAATAAATTGGTCCGCGTGACTTATTCATCATTCAATATTTTTTAAAAAAATATAAATGAGTGCATACATCTGTAAAATCGAAAATGCTATAACAAACGATAGTAAAAATAGGTTTTTTTAGGCACAAAACTTAGTGTTCCAATATAAATTTAAAGACCCAATGCTAAATATTTGGTAATTTTCATTTTTTTCATCGAATTTTTTATCTGGCAGATAAAATGATAATTACTGATCGTCAAGGACTTAATCGAAAGAATTTGTCGATCATTTAGATTTTTAATGTTTTTGCAGGGCCTCAGAATTTTGAGTCAGATTCATCGGAACTGGGTGATGCTAGCTAACCAACTATATAGCAGTCAGACATTGACTTCATTAATAAGTTTTTAGGCTCAGTCACTGAAATTCAAACCAATATTCAGATGGAAAATACTATCAACTTTTATAAAGAGTCATTTTCTTATACCAGGAATGGATTGCAATGAAGAATATGGTTTCCCGTGCCTGAAATGGTGTCTGTGTAGATTTCTCCCGTTCCTGGTTTCGCGCGACAACGTTGCACAGCTACTTATATTATAACACCTACGATCATAAATACCCCACTTGCCAAATCTAACACGCTTCTTATCGACTTAGCCGACTCGTAGGTTACACACATACCCAATCGTGAAACGACTGACTCGCCGTTTAGACCTGTCAATAGAGGACTGCACAAAAAATTCATTCCCACCTTGACCTAGAAAATTAAATGCTCCTTACAAACAACTAATTGGAGTCTTTGCAGTAGAAAGGGCGGAAACTGCCCCAAAAATGTAAATTGGATTTGAGTAAATTTCGACACAGTTAACATTTTCCAATCATAAATGAGAGTCGATTTGCATAAGAAAAGTTGTACATAACGAGATTACCCGGTAATTTTGATTGACCGGATCAGTCCGAAAATTAAACCAAGTGATTAAACTTAATTATTCCAAAATGAGACATATTCGAGTTTCTGCTCTTTCTACTGCAAAGACTCCAAATATTCCTGAAGAATATCCGCCTAAAGATAGCTATAAAAATAACAGACAGCTTAATATAATCGCTAGCATAATTTTGGTTTGCAAACATTTGGTTTTATTCTGGAAACAAATTGGATATTATTAGACCTAGAAAACGTGTTCCATAAGTGACCAATTTAGTCGCGTAATCTTCCATTAGTCATGTTAAGATCTCTTACCAGAAATGGGATACCCCGTGCTTATAAAGTTATTGCAAACATTAACGAAAATTCTTTTCATGCACCTAACATTAGCTAATGGTTTTAGTAATAATTTCATGCTCCTATATTTAGCACATGATTGTTGTGATTATCTGATTGGCTAGATACCAAAAATCATGGGGCATGAAAATAATTTACGAAACTTTATAGTTCACCCACAAGATTTTTCAGCACGTGATTTTTGGCCAATTAGATCGAAGTATCAGGTATAACGTAAAATCAAAACAATCGAATTATGCGAAAGATTTTAAAGTAATAAGCTTCATCTTTAGAGTTAGGATTAAGGATAAGGAAGATCATAGCTTATACTAAAATTTCGCGAGAAATTTTTTTATTAGAACGCAAGAGGTAGTTGAATAGGTTAATAGTGATTTTTTACATCTGAACCTTCAATCTAATTGGTTATGTTTACATGGTAGAAAAATCTGTAGGTGAGCTATGGGGGTTGTTATTGCATATATTGATTATAATAATTATAATCACTATATGAAATAAAATTAATATAATTATTAGAAGCATAATAATAGATATACAACACTCTCTTCTGTAGATCTCTTGACCAAAATTCACAGGAAGCAAAAACATAAAATAACATTAAAAAGCACAAGCAAGCAATACATAGAGCATTAAGAAAAAAGATAGAAAACATAGAGATACAGTTAACCAACTTAGAAACAAGAAATAAACTAGAGTAGTAACAAGTAACAACAAGAAAATCAATCTTTGGCGAACTTTAATAAGCAAAATTAGTATATAAAAGTAGAACAAAACAGATTGGAAGAGGTGTAGTAACCTAGTGAAGTGATCAGGTTGTCAACCTCCCAAATGGTAGGTTGGGTGTTCAATTCCCATTAACAATGAAAATTTAGATAATCATATTTGTAATATTCGTATTACAGCAACTGTTACTAATGATTAGGTTAGGATATTTGTAATAGCGGTCATACCAGCATGACTGACAGGTTATGGGACATCTGTATAAATATGGCATTATATAGAAGAATGCAAACTGACAAATTGAACAGTACAAACACTAGATAAGTCTTTTTGGTCATATAAATCTATTAAAATTGAGTAACAAAAAGTCTATTTAGAAAGACTTGAGTAAAAAGATAGCTAAATCTTCGATAGTCCTACTGTAAAGGTTAGATCAGGGAAATGAATACCAAGGTCATAGTACCCAGTCATAGTAGCCAAACAGACAAGAAGCTCTGAGTTGGGAGTCTTGGAGATACCACCAACCAAGATGTCAGAATAAATCAAAGAAAAAGGATATTAGGCTGACCTAATATACTGATAGACTGATTGTAGTCTTACATAGACTATTCAGATTAGGAGTTTGGTAAAAAGGTTGGACAAAAGGCAGGAGTATACTAAAGTACTGGGATTATGTTGTGAAGTAGATGCTGAGGTCTAAGTAAACTTTATAAAGGTATAGTGCTTTAATGGTTAGCCCTGATTGCAAGTATTAGTTCTGTCATAATGATATTTAGATCAGCTATAAAAATGGATACTGAAGGCTTTGAGGGTTTATCCTGAGGATAAATTGGTTCTAAGATTGAGAATGATGATCTAGGCATCTGAGATAATCAGTGATGTTAACACAAGTTACAGATTTAAAGGATTTAAAGTTGAATACCCAAACAGTGATGTTAGGTATGACAATTAGTTGGAAACTTTTAGGTGGATTCTTTAAATAGATAATATAAAAAAGTTATATATATAACCAATTGTATGCTCTTCTGTAATGGTTCATTGAATCACAATACTGATAACTGATTAATAAAAATCAAAAGATCAAAGAGATCACCTTAATAAAAAAGAAAAAATACAAACAGATTGGATAAACTTATACAAAGCTATTAAAGAAAGATTTAGCATAAAAATACAAGCTTTCTATTAATACACCAATATAGATATAGCATTCTTCAATAAGATTCTTAATTAGTTTTAATCTGACTTAAAAAGTTTGCAAAATTTTGTTATTATTTTTAGAAAAGTGAAAAACCACCCAAGATCCTGAAAACAAATAGTCAGAACATGTAATCAGCTAACAACAAAACAACAACAAACACAGCATATTCACAAATGATGATACTATCTTAATTAGAAAATAATAGATAAAAGTTTCTATGTATACTGCTAAGCAAATAGAAAAACAACAAACTAAAATAGAAACAGAAATACAGTGCAGACTAGGCCTTCTAGATGACATAAAATTAATACAACATATAAGAGGTTTTGTGATAGAAATAGAAGATATATAGATAGCAGAATATTAGATGAAATCTTATCAAAAAGAATAGATAACTCTAGCAATTTTTAGTATATAGCGAAAGAACTTGCAATTTATGATCTAAAAAATATCACAATAGGTGATATGCTTCTTTATGGCCAAGTACTTGAAGCACTCAAAAGAGCAGTAACCTTTTCATTAACAAGAAGCATGATAGAAGAATGGGCAGATAAGCTTTTAGCAATAGATCAAAACCCAAAATCATTTAACTACTTGTTGAGCATGAAGAGTGAAGAAATACTAAAAAAGAAAGCAGAAATAGAAGGAATAAAAAGAAATGAAAATATGAAAAATATGAATATAGTTTATGTTGAAAAGAAGAGACAACAATACAAAATAAGCAGTGATAAAAAAGCTAGCATAAATCTAAGTATAGTCATCAACCAAATGTAAGATCTCAGCATATCAACATTATCATATAGAGAACCAATTGCATTAGATTTTTTATGACAAATAGAAAGAGAAAAAACAGTAAATAAAAATAAAAAGAATATAAGGTTAATAACAAAAGAAAATCATGAAATGCTAATACTTGTAGACACAATAGAACAGAGCCAGTGGTCTCCAACAAATTATATATGTGACAAGAGCAAATCATTCAAAACAAATATGCCAACATATACAATATCAGGTGCAAATAAAGAAAAAAAACTAAAATACATACAATGAATCCTATATAATAATCATCACATTAAAACAATTAAAAAAGTTTTCAAAAACAGAAACAGTTGAATTGAGGTAGATTTTGACTATAAATTCAATAAAGATGTAGCAGTAGATAGAATCAAAGAAAAAGAAGGGAATTGACTTAAACTAATTCCAGAAGAATCAAAAAATCAAAAAAAGAAACTAAGCTGCCATACAGTAAACAACAGTAAAAAAGACAAGAATAAATCCAAAGAATACAAAAAATTTAATAAAAAGAAAGATGATAAAAATGCATACCTAGCAGAAAATAAATCAGAGCCATACACATGCCTAACAATATGGAACCTATCAGTAAACATCAATATAGAAAAAGTAGAATACATGTGTAAAAACTTCAAAAAAACTCAAATTAAATGTATTAGAAGATTCAAATATAAAGCTTTAGCTGTAGTTAGGGTAGAAAATATAAAAGAAGAAAACATACCATGGTCCTTACCAATTGGCATACACAGGCTGGCAAGAATAAGCATAGGTGAAGAAGACTATAACAAACATAATTCACTAAACTGATTCACATCAAAAATTTTAGAATTTCAAAATGATGTATCAGAAATATTACTATTATAATGTTTAAAGAAAACAGGAACAAGATTATTATATATTCTATTTAACAGAAATGGAAATCAGAGAAGATCAGCAACAATAATATATGCAACAGAGGAAGAAATGAATATGGCACAAATAAAGCTAATAAGATTTAATAATTACTTATTATTTTGGTTGAACTATGTTGAAAGAAAAGAAAAGAGTAAAAAGAAAAGTGATAATACAAGGTATAAGAGAATAGATGATAATAGAGAAAGCATAGATAAAGAAATATATGAATATAACTGAAGGAAAGAAAGTAAACAAAGAAATAACAAGAACAGAAATGATGATAGAAACAGAGAGCATTATAGAGAAAACTTAACAATTGAAGATCAGAAGCAGAAGAAGATAAAGAAAAAAAAAAAACCACAATTATAGCTACAAAAAAGAACCTCACACATCAAAAATATCTTAGAATGAATACTAGAAAGATTAGAAAGACTAGAAAAAGATAGAGAGAAAAATAAGATAACCAACCTAAATGCTTCTAAGAATGCCACAGTTGAACAAATGAATATAGACAAGGAAATCGAAGTATTTTTGTAAAAAGAAAGAAAAGTCTTCAAAGAATAAAGAGAAATTAGATTTCTTTGTTAGAAAGAAGAAGGTTATAGGATAGGAAAAGAAGAAGTAAAAATATAAAACAAAACAGAAATTATTAAAAAAGAAATGGAAAGAAGGAAAGAAAGAAATAAAGTTAGCATACTATAATACCAATAAACTCAAAACCAAAGGTTGGAAATTGGAGAATTTGCCTGGCTGGGCAGAAGAAAAAGAAATTGCAATACTAGGAATCATAGAAACAAATATTACTAAAAGAGAAGAAAGGTTCCTAACACATACAGCAAACAATAACTATATAGGGTACTGGACAAATGTAACAGAAGATAAGAAAAAAGATTCAGGTATAAGAATACTAATAGAAGAACAATAGGAAAAGCATATGGGTGCAGTCAAGAGGATAAGTAAATATATGATAAAAATCACATTATACTTCAAGCAATTAGAGTTGATAGTAATAAAAGTTTATATACTACTAAATAATAAGACAATAAGAAAAAACATCTAATAGAAGATTATAGAAATAGTTATGAAACAGAAAAGACAAACACAAGTTGTGATTATGTGTAACTTTAATCATATAGCAGACAATATATTAAATAGGCAACATACACAATCAGAAAATTTTAAAAGACTACTAATTTTTAACTGAATAAGAAAACAAGACTTCATAAACACATACAGAAATATGCATCTGACAAGTCAAAATTACACATGGTCGAGCAAAAAAGC